CTCAGTTTTGAAGTTTCGTCTTTCTGTCAAGGCACCCCTTTGCAAATCCTCTCTGAATGTTTTTCTTGGTTAAATATTAAACAAGGCTGTAACTGTAACAGATGAAAACACTCAAAGCAAATAATGGAAACAATAGTTCGTATATTATATAAACGGGATGGAGAAAAATAATAAACCCAGCGTGACAGCTTTTATTTAACCACTAGGATTTGCATTCTCTTTTGCCGTTGCAAATTTGTAACCTAGGCTGCTGTCACATTGTAGAAGCGAAGTGGTTTGACACCACTTTAACTACCGAGGCTCAGTGCAATGACATTCTGGGATCTGTAGTTTTTTTTGAGATGTTTAGCCTTCCAACTCAGAGCTGTAGTGCCACACTAAAATTGCACAATTGTAAAAGCCTAAAATTGGAAGGGAATGCAGCGTAGCGTAGTGGTTTGAGCGCTGGACTACGACTCTGGAGACCAGGATTCGATTCCCTGCTTTGACATGAAACCCACTGGCTGACCTTGGGAAAGTCACACTCTCTCAGCCTTGGAGAATGGCAACGGCAAACCCCCATTGCCAGATGGTGACCCTAAGGCCAACCTATCCTGGGGTTTTCTTGGCAGGATTTGTTCAGAGGAGGTTTTCCATTGTCTTCCACTGAATTATATAAATTCCAAAAAGCAAACCTTCTTTTTGCCATTTTATTTCAGGGACACCATTTTTATTACGCTGTTGTACTGAATGGGACTTGAACGTCCCTGGATTTTCGTATCCACGGTGGGTCTTGGAACCAAACCCCAGTGGATCCCAAAGACCCACTGGACTGGTTTATAAGTAATCCTCCTTTTTTTAAAAATACATAAATTGTTCTGTATTAATCCTGGTCTTCTCTTTGACATTCCTCCTACAGACGTCTTCTGTAACTGCAGCTCCGTCGGAAGCAGGGACCCGAGCGGCTGCAACGCAACCACCGGTCAGTGCGAATGCCGCAGGGGTTACGCCGGCCAGCTGTGCGACAGATGTGAAGAGGGCTACTACCCGGAGCAAAGCGGCGGCCATTGCCTTGCCTGCGGTTGCCACCCTGGAGGCTCCATTTCCTCCACCTGCCTCAGGTAAGGAGCCTCCCCCCCGCCATCCCCTTCGACAGCTTGCAACGTGTATTTTTTGGCATTTCTTTGGCCCAAGGAAGGCATCACTGTTTTGTGGATTTCTGATGCTGTTCTCATTTGGTGTGATCCTCTGCCCCTTGGATAGTTCCTTCCAGAATTCAGATGAAAACCCAGAATGGATTTATTGCTCCACTGACCTGAAAGCCACCGACAGGCACCAGCCAAAAGCCACAGATCCAAATGTTGGTTTGTGGCTGGCTAACAAACCGTGGCTTGTTTGCCACAAACCATGGCTGGTTGACAAACCATGGCTTGTTCACCACAAACCATGGCTTGTTCATCACAAACTGTGGCTGGCTAACAGACTGTGGCCTGTTCATCACAAACCGTGGCTGGTTATCAAACCGTGGCTTGTTCACCACAAACAATGGCTGGTTAGCAAACTCTGGCTTGTTCATCACAAACAGTGGCTGGCTAACAAACCATGGCTTGTTCACCGCTAACTACGGCTTGCTAACAAACCTTGGCTTGTTCACCACAAACCATACCTGGCTAACAAACTGTGGCTTGTTCGCCACAAACCATGGCTGGCTAACAAACTGTGGCTTGTTCATCACAAATGGACGGTGGCTAACAAACCACAGCTTGTTCACCACAAACCATGGCTGGTTAACAAACCGTGGCTTGTTCACCACAAACCATGGCTTCTTCAACCATGGCTTGTTGTTGCATGTGAGAGCAAGCCAGGTTTCATTGATCCACACCAAGCCTTGCAAAGGTGTGAGATTTGACTTCCCGTTGGCATCGCATTGGGAGACGAAAGAAGCAAAGGGGGAGCTTTTGCATCCCAAATTTCTACCGAAATTTATTTTTGCAAATGCAAAGTGGGCCTTTGAGGGCAGCGATCTTCTGGCTCCATGCCCGGGACGAAGAAAGTGGGGGCAAAGCGAAGGCGCTGCAATGCTCACCAGGCACGCTTGGCATGTTGACATTTCGGGGGGAAGTTGGGGGGGGAGCCCTTGGCCTTTCCAGACTTGTCGAGTGTTTCAACTCCTTCGGCAGATTTCATGGAGATGGATTCCATGCGGAGGCATAAAGCGAGGAATGTGGTTTGCACAATGCCCCAGTGTTTTTGGGGAATAAAGTGGTCTTTTTCCCCTTCCTCCGCTATGCACACACACACACAAACACACACACACACACACACAAAAGGAACTTTGCAGGCATTGCATGAATGTTGGGGATAGAGAATGGCAGGGACCCAGACATAGAGGGAGAGGAGGGTGGAGAGATGTCCAGGGGACACAGGAGGTTGCCATGAAATTTGGAAATCTTCAAATCGCCCAGAAGGAAGGGAATGCAATTGGGAAGGGGAGAAATATACAGTGGACTCTCCACATTTGGAACTGCCCCTTGCCCAATGACTCCTCTGGCTGCATCCACACTGTGGGAATAATCCAGTTTGGCACCGCTTTCACTGCCGTGGCTCAATGCTATGGAATTCTGGGATTTGCAGTGTTGTGAGATATCCTGCCTTCTCTGTCATAGTCTTGGGGCCACAGCAAACTGCAAATCCCAGGATTCCATAGACATTAACGCTCAGTGAATGAGCTTTAAAAAACCATTGAACAATTATCTATCTATCTATCTGTCTATCTATCTATCTATCTATCTATCTATCTATCATCTATCTATCTATCTATCATCTATCTATCTATCTATCTCTTCCTTCCTTTTGTCCATCTTTCTCTGCCTTTCTTCCTTCTGTCCATCTTTCTTTCCCTTCTTTCCTTCTTTCCTTCCTTATGTCATCTTTCTTTCTTTCCCTCCCTCCCTCCCTTCCTTCCTTCCTTCCTTCCTTCCTTCTGTCCATCTTTCTTTCTCTGTCTTCCTTCCTTCTGTCCATCTTTCTTTCTCTACCTTCCTTCCTTCCGTCCATCTTTCTCTGCCTTTCTTCCTCTTCCTTCCTTCTTTCCTTCCTTCCGAAACTTAGGTTATATCCAAACTGCCAAATTAAATCCGTTTGGCACCCCTTTAACTACCATGACTCTATACTACAGAATCCTGGGATTTATAGTTTACTGAGGTCGTCATCCTGCTCTGCCAGTGACCCAGTGGTACATAAAGTTACTCGGGGCTGTCTTTAAATGTCAGTGGGAAAACCCTCTCTGAACAAATCTTGCCCAGAAAACCCCAGGAATAGGTTCTCCATCGCCGTACGTTGGAAATGACTTGAAGGCACCCAGCCAGTCACACTCTCTCAGCCCCAGGGGAAGGCAATGCTGGCAAAACTCCTCTGAACAAACCTTGCTGAGGAAAGCCTGGGGATAGGGTGGCCTTAGGGTGGCCATAAGCTGGAAACGACTTGAAGGCACATTAATAATAATAATAATAATAAGCAACACGACTATTTATAATGGGTCCTCTCTGTTGAAAGATTGTGATCAGAATGGCTTTTTTAACCCAAAGGACAAGCTCCATAGTTGTTGTGGTTGTGGATATTGTGGTGGTTGTGGAGTCGGCTGAAGACCGGCCGAGGGGAGGTCAGCGATTATAGAGGAAAGCAGACAGCGTTAAGCCTCTGGCAATCCAAAACCGCCAAAGAAGTAGGGCAGCCAAAAGGGTGGGCTGGCTGGGAGAGTCGGCGCGGGGGCAGCCTTGATTTTCCAGTCTGGGAAGAGTATTGGAAGGCATTGGGAACTCCCCAGATCAATACCTGTGTCTGCACCCCACTTGCATCCAAAGCTTCCCAGTTGCTCCCATTAAAGTGGAACCAGACTGCTCAGTCTGGTTCCACTTTAATGGGAGCAACTGGGAAGCTTTGGATGCAAGTGCAGATGCAACCCTAGACTCGAGGAACTTGTTCTCCTTCTTGCATGCCTTCCAGTTGTCTCTGACTTACAGAGACCCAAAGGAACCTCTCCTGGGGTTTTCTTGCCGAGATTTGTCCAAAGACAGTTTGGCTTGGCCACCCTCGGAGGCTGAGAGAGTGTGCCTTGCCCAAGGCCACCTAATGGGTTTCATGGCTGAGCCGGGAATCAAACTCTGGTCTCCATCCACACTGTGGAGATAATCCAGTCTGAGACTGCCATGGCTCAGTGCAATGGAAATCTGGAATTTGTAGTTTGCGGTGGCCCCAGAGGTCTCCGACAGAGGCGGCCAAACGGCTCACGAAACTGCAGTTCCCAGAATTCCATTGCATTGAGCCATGGCAGTTAAAGTGGTGTCAAACTGGGTCATTTCTGCTATGCGGATGTAGAACCACAGAACCATGAAGTTAAAGTGGCATCAGAGTGGATCATTTCTGCGGTGCAGATGCAGAACTATAGAGCTATGGAAGCTAAAGTGGTATCAAACCGGATTATTTCTGCAGTGCGGATGTAGAACCATGGAGCCGTGGAAGCTAAACTGGTGTCAAACTGGATCATTTCTGCAGTGTGGATGCATAACTATAGAGCTATGGAAGCTAAAGTGGTATCAAACCGGATTATTTCTGCAGTGCCAATGCAGAACTATAGAGCTATGGAAGCTAAAGTGGTATCAAACCAGATTATTTCTGCAGTGCAGATGCAGAACCATGGAGCCGTGGAAGCTAAAGTGGTGTCAAACTGGATCATTTCTGCATTGCAGAACCACAGAGCCATGGAAGCTAAAGTGGTATCAAACCGGATCATTTCTGCAGTGCGGATGCCGCTTTCGTCCAACGCCCAAACCGGGACGCCACGCTGGCTCTCGTATTTTTATGGGAAAGCAAAATCACATTTTTAAAAAAGGGACCTCACTTTTGGTTTACACGTGGGCTGTGGCTTTGGTTTGCCCGAGGAATTTCTCTTCATCTTTTGATTCTTCCTTCAAAAGAAAATGGATTCTTGAAAAATCAAAATAAAAAATAAAACCCCACCATGCAACGTAATTGGCTTTTTAAATGGAGCCCGCGATCCTTGTTGACCCTTTCCTTGCAAAAAAAGCAAAGCACCCAGGACCTTTGGATGATATAGGAGCCATGAAAGGGGATGCTGTTCATAGTTTTATTCTATGGCTGCATTGAGGAAAAAGGTTTTCGGCCGGAGCTGAAAGAATTAATTCTTTGGCAAAGCCAGACGATGGCTTCCAGCCATCTGTATCAAGTTCAGCATCCTGCCAGAGAGGCCTTAAATCTGAATTTTTCCGGAACCTGTCTCCCGCCTTTTAAAAAGTCTAATAACTTCCTCTCTTGATGGGCACCAGATGAAAACATTTCCAAAGTTAAAGGGGCACAAAGATCAGGAGGGCTTGCTCTGAGATTTCCAAATTTCTAAATACATTTCCAAATTTCCGACCCTTGAAACTTTGCAAAAAAAGGCCATCTCTTAAGTTGCAAAAGAAGCTCCGATTCTATACTGACTTACTTTTA